TTGAAGCCTGAACTTGCACGTGGATGTATCACGTTCTATGCAATTGAAGATTCATTTTCCCACCGTTTTTGCTCCGCTCTTCGTGCAATTGCTCCTAGTAATTAAATTGTACATTGTATTCCTAATCATTTAACAGTCTGTGGCAATTGTTCTGCGGCCCTGCACGCTCATTCAAGAGGAAATACTGTGTAGTTCGGGGAGACTGGCTGTCTGATGATTGTGAATTGCGTTATAGTTAAGTTCTACCAGATTTGTTTCTTGTTCACTGTCGGAAATTGCTGCTCACATGGTCGTTGCTCAGTCCAATGCTTTCAGGTGATCCGCGGTAGTAACTTTTGACGACTCCAGTTTTGGCCACTAAAAGACATCCTCAACGGAGTCCCAAGGCTGCTGCTCTCCTTCCTTCATTTATTTTCGCGCTCACAGTGAGGCCAGCTGGTGTCGGGACTTGGTCGAGGTTGTATCCAAAACCATATGTTCACCCCTGACTACACTGAAAACCGATGCATAAAATTGCAACAAGGAAGTTCGAATGCAAATAAAACAACCTATTTTTCGGATAATTTGTTTTTGCGGACTTTCAAAATCTATCTAACCACCTGTCCTGTTTAATCTGGAATGACTCTCAATTTTTCAATGCCTCCAATGCACATCTACCTTCTTCCCGCTCCGTTTATCCGTGCCACTCTTCAAACTGAAGCAATTTCTGTTCAATATTTGGGTGCAGCCATCGAAACAAATTTAATTTTATTGCATTGCACATACTTCTGAGTCCAAACTGTGTGCCAAACAAACCATAGTACAATATATTTTTTGATAAAAAGAGAATGTTTCATGATTTGTTAGTGGGTAGAATACTACTAGATTGCCCGGGCCAAGACAGGTGAATTTTCTTGGGGAATTCACAACCGGATCCTAATTATGGCCCGCAAGGTAGTGGTGTGGTGTGCGAAAACCGCAATCAATTGGGAGCCGGTGTCCAGTGCATCCGATAATATGTCCCTTGGACAGGGTCAAACATCCGAGGTACACAATTCACCTCGATACTAATTCGAACCGGTCGCCACTGCCACAACCAAGATGTGGGTGAGTGTGGTTCGTGCGCCCCTTCTTAGTTGGCTTGGAATCAGCGTTTTTGGCCAACTCCTCTAGGTGAACTACCAGTGGTCCACCAACCCGGGTATTGGCTTTTCGTTCCCTCACTTTGGTGCGAAAACACCGCCACGAGAAGGCAGTGAGTAGGGCTTCCTCATCAGAGGGTGTTTGATAAGTTTGGTCGTATGGGAACACTTCGTGAATTGCAAGAGATGGGTGACCAACCACACCCCAAGATACTCACCTCGACCACGCTGAGGCATTCGGAGGCCAAATTTAAATTATACATCTGTGGAGAGGCTTCGCGGATTATTTTTTCCAATATGAAAACTCAGACACTTAGCGAGGAAATAAGGAATAGTTTCACGCTTTGGTTATCAGGACGTGTTCTCTATTCTTCTTTATTTTCACTTTGCCGATATTTTTAAAAAGTGTTTCGAAATTCCTCGTAGCAGGATGTCGATTACCTGTGAGGTCTCTCATACTCCTTGATAAAATATCTGCAAAACAGAAAATCCTTCCTGATCCCACTCACCCTTCACATGACAATTTATGCACATACTATTCGCCTTCCGTTTTCAGTTTATTGAATACGTGATTATACAACTTTTCAGGACGGAGAAAGCGACTAATCAAAAGGCTACCATACAACACATGATGGACAAAGTCAAGTGGTGGTGGTACTTTTCGAACACATCCTCTAGGGTGATAACTTGGTAACGTTACCCTCCTTCAATCACATCTTCAGAAATACAACCATTTTTTTATCTTGTTAGGATCTCCAAGATTCATGATCGAGTTTCTGTCGATTTTTTGAGCAGCTTTTTAAAGTTTTCTCTCTCTTCAGATATTAATTATTTCTTGGTACTAATGGGGAATTTGATAAGGGGGAATTCATCGTGCATTTGCCAGTTGAGATGATGGATTCACGCTGCGGATGAAGACCAACCAGGTCGGAACAGTTGTACACTGCGTCTA